TTTGAGTATTCACCCTGATGGTGTCCAGGCAGTTATGCTGAGGTACTTTGTGGATTTTTGGAACAGAAATAACATCTTTTAAGGGTGTCTGTGACCGGCTGAGGTGCAGGATGTGGCCTCTCTATTTTTAGCATCTGCTGGTACGCCCATCCTGTGAGTGTTAATTTAGGTGATGCAACCTTTTAAGTCTGGAGAACTACTTCCTTCTTCAAAGCTTGCTAATTCTCATGAAAGAAATAAAGAGAATTTCATGACAGTGACCTATTTTTCACTTTGAATATCCCAACTATTGGTGAGCATTTACATTAAAATATTTGAAGTTTAATAAATTTTGCAAAATGTCCTGGATGTTGAGGGATGTAGTGATGAACTCAGAATTAGAAAGTGGAGATTGTCTTCTTTTTCTTTGAAGCTCACAGGCCTATGAAAAAAAAAGCTTTCTAGAGAAACTTAAATTTTTTTATCTAATTTGTACACATTTCTACAATTAGGACAGCTGTAGGTTCACCCCTGCCAAAATCTCTCTGCTGGTAACCCAGCCACATGCTGATTACTCCTTATTTCACGTTCAAGTGACCAGGATATTTTGGTCAGCTGGCGACAGAGCGGTCCAGGTGGTAAAGGAACAAGGACTGAACAGTATGAGCAGCGTTTGCCTTTTTCTCTCCTCCATCCCCCTTTTCTATATATTATACTTTGCCACTTTCTCTGCTCAGCACACAGGAATTTGCTGGATGCATCCATGAATGCAGAACCCACTGGAATCACGACATTTGTTCCAAATGATCCAGCTGGTGCCAGGGAAGCAGAAGTTCTGACTGTGTAACAACCACACTGTGAGGAGGAACAAGACTGAAACCCACTTTCCGTAAAGGGAAGGATTTGAACTGGTGCTGGAGATGTGCAAGGCTCTGTTATTCTCCCTCCTTAAGTTGTTGACAGGACACAGTCCCCTCTCTTACCTGTCATTGAAAGGTCCTTCTAGTTGCACTTATGGCAGTGTCACTTTGTACCAACATCGGCCGTGCACTGTAAGGCTGCTGAGGTTTCCAAAATCCACCTTTTTTATTTCTGCTAGTTCTGCTTCGTATCCTTCAAGCCAGTACACAAGAACAAAGCTTCAGCAAAGCCTACCTAACATTTCCTTTTGTTTCTGACATCATTAGCCAACGTAAACCAAACCATTAACAGGCATCTAAAAATATTTCTGGAAGTTTTCACGTGCTCGGTGAGGATTCCAAAGTTTTCTTTGAGGGAGACTCAGGGAGACTCCAGAAGAAGATTTTTGGTCCAGGAAAAAAAAAAACAAATAACGCAGCTGAAGCCCAGGCACCGTTGTATGAAGCAGATTGATTAACCTTAGTGCTGCTGCGTTCCCACTGGAATACACCCTGGAATGACACTGGAATGCCGCCGGATTTCCGACTGGCCGCCCGGAAGCGGCTCCTGCCGTGACTCCCAGCGCGGCAGGATCGCCTCCCGCTCCCACCCGGCACATCCAGCCTGGCCTCGCCTCCCCTCGCCCGCCCCGATCCATCCCGGCCCGCCCCGATCCCCCGCGATCCTCCCTCCTGCCCGGGTGAGTGCGGGGCCGCGGGACGGGAAGGGGCTGGATGGAGGCGGCGGGAGCCGGGAGGGGGAGCGGGGACACCGCGTGTCCTCGGAGCCGCTGTGCCCGGCGGTATTCCCGCTGTGCCCGGCGCTATTCCCGCTGTGCCCGGCGCTATTCCCGCCGTGCCCGGCGTTATTCCCGCTGTGCCCGGCGCTATTCCCGCTGTGCCTGGCGGTATTCCCGCCGCTTCCCAGGGAGCTGCCGTGGTGTGGGAGGGAACAGCCCTGGCGGGGAGCAGCTGCTCCCGTGTGGGGTTCTGCGCTGGGCTTTGTCCTCCAGCCCGGCACGGAAGGAATTGGGGGTGCTGGTGGATGGAAAGTTGGGGCTGAGCTGGCGCTGAGCTCCCAGCCCAGAAATCCGGGCGTATCCTGCATCCCATTCAGCGGGCCGTGGGTGAGGGAGGGGGTTCTGCCCCTCTGCCGCGCTCTGGTGATTCTCCACCTGGAGCGCTGCATCCAGCTCTGGAGCTCCCAGCGTGAGAAGGGCACAGACCTCTTGGATCAAGTCCAGGGAAGGCCAGGAAGATGATGAGAGGGATGGAGCAGCTGCGGAGACAGGCTGGGAGAGTTGGGATGGCTCAGTCTGGAGAAGTCTCTGTGGAGACCTCCTTGCAGCCTGTCAGGACTTAAGTGGTGCAAGAAAGATGGAGAGGGACTTTTTATGAGGGCCTGTAGCTGCAGGACAAGGGGCAATGGGTTTAAGCTGAACGGTTTAGGTTTAGACTAAATGTAAGGGAGAATTTTTTTCTGCTGGAGGGTGGTGAGGCATTGGCTCAGGTTGCCCCGAGAAGCTGTGGATGCCCCATCCCTGGCAGTGCTCAAGGCCTGGTTGGATCCTGTTGGATGGGGGTTTGAGCAACTAGATCTTGTGGAAGGTATCCCTGCCCATGGCAGGGGGCTTGGAACAGCTGTAATAACCAGCAGAACGCTACAGAACAGCCCGTGTTGTAAATGAAGCTGCGCTCTATGAATAGTAAATATCTGAATGTAACTTCTTTAAATCAGTGTGAATGAGCTGAGAGGTTGGTACAATGGATTTAGGTCTGGAATTTGAATTCAAAACTATTAATCCAGGCTTGGTTGCATTTGTGTTGCTGTCATTTGGGGATGTCAGCTTTAGATCTTGGTGCCTTCAGCAGCATCTTCAGATCTTGCTGTCAGTCAGGGACTGATTTTCAGTCTTTAATTTTGTACGCATTCCCTTGCCTCGTGCTGCAGTTGGGAATGTTCATTCTCTCAGGAAGGAGGTGATGTGAATTCCCTCCTGCAGGGCTGAGGTGACCCTTGGTTACTGTTGAGGGACAGGCTGTGCAGGAGCTGCTGATGAAACACTGCCCAGGAGTTAGTGGGCCAGCAAGGGTGTCCTGCTGCACAGAAGAACTTAGTGCTGCATGTAAATACCAGAACTGGAGTTTAAGTTTCAAAGTACGGGATCTGTGTAAATAAAAGTATCTCAACAAATTGATAGCATTTCCTATCAAATGGGTGTAGGGAGTAGAGCTGTCATTTTTACTTAGAAATTATGGCATCAGCACGTTCAAACTTCTCAGGTGTTGGCTTTCCAGACTTGCACAGTTACCTACCGTTACTTGATTTCCCCCTTAACTTTCCTGAGAATTTGGCAGCCAAACCATTTGTAGATCAACTTCTTTATTTTGGCATAATGGTACACAATCATACTCTCTGCCTGGGAAAAACAAAGTAAATGACTTCCAGCTTTAAAATGAAATGTCTGTGCTTGTGTGAAAGAATTCTTTTTGTTCTACATAAGCAAAGTTTGACAGCTCGACAGGACTGAGAGCAGAATCTTGGCCTTTTAGTTCTTAAACTGGTAAATTTGACAAGTTTTAAACTTGTAAATGTAGTAATTACAGAGCATCAACAGGAAGGCCTAACAATGTTCCCTGTCTTCTGTAAACTGTTAATGCTTTGGAGCAAATAGTGAGGCTCTGAAACCAGAGCTGTTCCCGGGATACTCTGATATCCCACTGGGTAGGGGAAGAGTTGTTGCTCTGGGCCCGTGAGCTCTTGAGGTTGTGTTGCTGGTTGATTGTTTTGGTCCTCTCTCCTCTTGAACAGGAACCATGCCCAAGGAAGATAATAATAAATAAAGAAGGCAAAGTGAATTACATGCAGCTGAAGAAGGATTTTGACCAGAAAAAGGCAACAATACAGTTTCATCAGCCTCAGAGATTTAAGGTGGGATTGTTTCCCTGGATATAATTGATGCTGGCTTAATAATGTGGTGTGTTTGAGTTGCACTAGACATGGCTTCATCTCTGTCCCCAGGGCAAGTGGTTGACATTGATGACCTGCTGAAATCTTTACATGAGCTGTATTAAAACACAGTTTATACTTTTGCACTGTCCATCATGTTTCACTGCTCTGCAGTAAGAACAAAATCTGATTCATGCTATAATATGTATAATAATATATTCTTTTTAAAATTTTGCTCTGTCACATAAAAGTTTGGAAACAAAAACCAAATGCACAAAATTGATGATTAGGCATCTGTGCTTAAATTATCCCTTCTGCCCCACTGTTTCCTTGTGCAAACTTTGTGGCTTTTGAGCCACTTCCCTTTAATGGAGGGTAAGGTGTGAAACCATGTGAAATATTTCCAGTGTTCTTGCCAGTGAATTGCACCGTGGAAAGGTACCAGCCCATTTTAGCTGAGTGTTCTCAGTCCTTGAGTTTGAGAAGGAGACAGTGGTGCTGCACAGTTGTGTAAAGGACTTGGATTCTTGGAGGTGCTTTGATTCAGGTAGCCTTGAAGGTGTCAGCACAATTGAATTGTGAGGTGGACCCAAATGAGATCCCAAATACAAGCTGAGTCCCAGGTATAGTGTTCCTGGCTGCTGTCAGCTTTAATGGCCAAGCTGCACTTGTGTGGATCTGGTACTTGGCACGTTCTGCTGTTTCCCTTCGGTGCCTTGTCTGTCACATGTGGGGTGTGGATGAGTCAAGTTTGGTTTTGAATATTCCCAAATGATTGGAGTAGCTGGTGAAAGGTCTCTAACCTTTGTATGTTCTCTCTGGTGAGAGAATGCAGGTCCTGCATGTGCTTATTGTCTTATGGTGTTCTGCTGTTTGTGGGATTATTTTCCTCTGTTCAGCCTTGTCTGTCTGGTTGTGCAGCCTAAAGATGGCACAGGGAAGAGAACAAACCCAGGTTGGGGCACCAGACTTTTTGGCTTAGCAGTGACTCTCCTGGCAGATCCCCTTTGCATCTCCAGTGCTCTCCTTCAGGAGAAACACTGGTACAGAGCACCTTCCTTCCCAGCCTCTGTGTCCCTGATGTGATCATTCTTCCCAAGCCATGGGGAGGATGTGGGCTGGGCTTGGCTGAGCTCTTCAGCAAGTAACAGCATCTTTTTTTTTACAGGAGGAGCTGTGGAAGATTTTCAGGAGAAGCTGGAGTGCTGCTTTGGGTCTCTGGTGGGGTCCAATGTTTCCATCACTGCCCAGGGATCCCAGGGCCTTCCTCCTCACTATGATGATGTTGAGGTAGGACAGCACAACCTTGCCTGGGAAATTGTGCATGGGCTTTTGCTGATGGCAGTGTTTGCTGTTGTGTGTGTGCTTCTAACCCTCCCCCCCACTAAACATTATAGGAAAAAGTTTTTTTTTTATTTGTGTTTCCTTGTGGTCGTTTCTCTTACGTATTTTTCCTGAAAATTTACTAATAGTAATATCTAATCATAATATCATGTAAACTGGGTTTTCCAGACCTGGTATTTCCCTTAGATAAAAAGAGAAGTTTGTTTTCACAGCTGCAGAAGCTTTCTAGCACCTGTTTTTTCATTTTCACTTCATTCAGGCCCCAAGAATTTACAAGTCCTTTTTCCTTTACTAAGTACTTGCTCTTTCTTCAGCTGGACTGTAACAGCAGACTGGTTGTGCTTGTTGGTCCTGCTGTCTTTAAGAAGTTACTGATATGATGAATTCCTGTGGTCCAAATGCATTTTAAATCAGCTTCTAAAAGAAACATACAAATATACACTGTGTTATAAAGAAAAAATTGGACTATCCCACTTAAACCAAATCAAAAAATCCAATCCTTATATGTGTATTTTGCTTTTTAATATTTTCATTTCCATTCAATACACCTGGAGTTTCATTTTCCTTATGCTTGTTATTCAGCAGCCTCACATCCAGCATTTCTAACTCATGCCATCTACCCCCATTGGGCACCCTATAGAGGTTTCTGATGCTCTGTTGGGGATAAGCCTCTTCCACCTGAAATTTTGGCTATTTGTGTGGCAGATGTTCCTTTTGGGTTAGTTCTCTAGCACTTACTGAAGTGACTGGAGAGAAACAGGGATTTCCAAATGCCTGCCTTAGGATAAAACAGATCCCACTTCACAACTCCTCTGTCTGTTGTCTCTAAATAGAGACAAAAAAAATGAGTTCAAATTTAAATTTCTCTGAATTGTAGCCATCTAAAAATTAATGAGGGGAGGGTTTGCACACTGCGAGCACGAGAAATTTGGGTGAGAGTTGTCTGTATCCTTTTTTAAAGGTATCCTTTGCTTCTAGTATTTAAATAATGGGCCAAAACCCCCAGTTATTTCTGTAAATTGACTGGTACTCTCCAGGTTGGGCACCCTGACTCCTAGGTCATGTTTGTGGAGTTGTGTGCAGAAAAAACACTGGGTTTGTGTATGGTTATAAAACATTTTTATGCTTTTACATGCTGCCTGTAATCCCTCAGGCTAATCCTTCTGTGCACTGAGACTTACTGCTGCACTGAACATTGTCACTGTTCTGGTGAATGAGGTTTAAATATTTATCCTTGGCTGATAAAGAAAAGCATGACCCAAACCCCATATGAACTCGCTGTATTAATTGCTCTTCCTTTTTCCAAACCTGAAATTCAAGTGTTTGGTTGGTGGTTGATTTTTGGAATAAAAGGCACATTTCATGAAGATTACTGAGTGTCAGCAGGGAATCTGGTGCTTGTCCTGTTCTGTTTGACCTGCTTTTGAAGTGTTACTTGTCCAGCTGGTGCTGCTGCTCCATGCTGGAATCCTCAGGAGTTTCTCTGCCTTTTGGCCTGTTATGGAGCCTCTCTCTGCTCTTCTCAGTGTCCAGAGCTGCATTTGGGTGTCGGTGTTTGAGGAATAGTGTGACATGTTGGATGGTGTAGGTGTTTGAGGAATAGTGTGACATGTTGGATGGTGTAGGTGTTTGAGGAATAGTGTGACATGTTGGATGGTGTAGGTGTTTTAGGAACAGTGTGACACATTGGATGGGATGCTGACATCATGAGCTGTGTTGTTTGACAGAGGGGAATATTCAATCGTCATCGTGTACTGGGTGATGCAAAGTCTGGTAAACTACAGTTCCCTTTTTCATTTCTGGAATATTTTGGACCAGACTTCAGTGCCTTTCATTTTTATGGAATAATGATGGGCTTAAAAGTTATCCAAGTTTTTAATTTATTTTTCTTCTGTTTGCTGTTGTTCACTTCCTGTGACCCATTTCTTCTGGGTGGCTGCTGTCAAAGTTTGGTTGTCTCTTTGTGGCTGCCTCTGAGAGGGATGCTGTTGTTTGACTCTATTTCCTCCCTAAACATCTTTCTAGAATATTTCCTTTCTCCATCTTTCAAATGAAGAGAATTCAGAATACTCTTGGTTGCTGTGGTCCCCACTCTGGTAAGGAAGGCAGTTTTCTTTGACTGTGCTGTCCAACTCTGTAGGTGTTTACAGGACAAGCCACAAGTAAACTTTTATTTCCTTCTTGGAGGCAATTTTATGTGCTTTACACCTTTTTTGTCTTGACTTTCCTTATCTAGTTTTTTTTCAGTGTGGAGTTTTAATTTACATAGGTGAGAAGAAAGATAGGGAGGAGGAGGAGGAAGGTCATACCTGTTTTTTAAGTGCTTTAACTGAAAATCTCAGACAACACTATTGTAACAGATTACCATTTTTACAGAATATTTGGCTTTTCTCGTGGAATACTAGCCTTTTCTTTTGATGTGATCTGACCAAATCCCCATTTCACTGCTCCTCTGCCAGCCCACTGTGTTGCCAGCAGGTCCCTCTCAGCTGCTTCTTTGTCCTCTTCCTGCAGCTCAGTGGGAGTCTGTGTGTTCTGTGATGTTAAAAAGCTTGTTTCACCTTTTCAGCAAATATTGACAGCAGGTTGGAAAGTTTAAGGTTCTGAACTTCTGGCTTAGTGTTCTTTATGTTATTAAAGTGTACATTGCAGGACTGCTCCATTTTGTGATTCTAAAGGATATATATTGTCAGACTGTCTGCTCAGGGAGTATTTTCTCTGACTGCAATAAGGTTTGACCTGGTGCCCTAAATATATCAATTTTCTTGCAGCCAGGTGACTTACTGTACTTCCCAAGAGGGACCATCCACCAAGCTGACACTCCTCTTGGGACCTCCCATTCCACACACGTGACCATCAGTACCTACCAAAACAAGTCATTATTCTTTATCTTTTGTTTTGTGTGGCTTTCCTCTGCCAAGTGATGTGTGTGAGTAGTACAGACCTGAGATGTGGTGAAGTTCTGGGGCTTGGGGGAAGGAGGGGAGCAAGAAGACTGTTGTTATTTGAAACAGCAAGCTTGATTGCTTTTTAATTGCTTATTTTATTATTTACCAGCTGTAGGCTTTAATGTGGAAAATGCTACAACTGCAAACTCACTTCTGTATTTAAAAAAATCTCTCATCAGTGGCTGAAGTTACTGTTCATTTCATAGCTCAGATAAAGAGTCATGAGTTACTCCTTTCATCACGTTTTCTCCTGTATTTGATAGTCACCTGCACTAATCTTCTGACAGATTTGCTGCCAATTCTTCCTTGCAAACATTTTCTGCTTATCTGTGTTTTTTTTTTATCTCCTACCCCATGTATGCAAGTCAGATTTCTTATGACACACTCCCAGTCCTTGTGCCCACACTGTTATCACACAGGGAAATGTTCTTGCCAACCTAATCAGCCTCCCAGATGCTGGGTTTGGAGCCATTGGTCTGAGTTAGGAATTAGGAAGGGCAGAACAAGTTTGGGCATATTCTAGATAACTGTGGGATGAATCTCTAACCACCAGCTGTGCCATTCTGGAAGCCAGGATGGGCTGGTAACTCTTCATCTGGCCACTCCTCCAACCTGGAGAGAGGGTTAAGAGGAAGCTGCTCCAAGGTGTCAGTCTTCTGAAAAGTTGGGTTCAGATTATTTCTATTTACACGTGTTCTTTTATTCAGAAGGTAAAAAAAAAAACTAACCCCAAAAAACAGGAGAGGAAAAGGAAAAGCTGCTCTTCTTCCAAGGTTAAAAAGTTGAGTCATCCCCCCTTAAGGCTGTTGGTAATGAAGTGCTGACATCCTGCCTCTGCACCTCCTGTCAGCAAGGGCAGGGAAAACAAGCAGGAGTCCTGGTGCAGGCTGGTGTTCTGACTTGTAGATGGAAGTATGATCTGGAAACATTTCCTTGGCAAATTGAAGAGAAATCCTTGAAAGCAGCTGTGGAGGAAGTGCTGGTGGAGGTGGCACTTTCAGGTTATTTTCAGGTTTGTCTGGGCCAGATCCCAGCAGGAGAGAAGTGTGCACATGTGGGATAAGCAGGGCAGTTTGGAAAAGCAGTGAGTAGCTGAAGACAGTTGCTGGCAGATGGAGACTGTGGGGGCAAAAGAAGGGAAGTAGTGAGGAGTAGATGTCTAATTCCTTTCACTGGCCAGAGTTCTTCCCTCCCACTGTGTAGCAGACAGTGGAACACTTGAGTGGAGATGATAAAAAAATATTGAGACTACAAAAAGTGGCACTTTTTCTTTTTGCTGTCACTGATAATGTCAGAACGGCCAAAGCAACACAGATATCAGACGTAGTCCAGGTGTAAGGTGAACAGGAAGCTGTTTATTGCTCTCAAGTGTTTCTTTTATACTCTTTGTACACTATCGTGCCACAACACAATTGGTCAGAAGTCTCAAGCATAAAAAACTGTAGACACTGCACACACTCTTATTGGTGACACTGAAGACACTGTGCATGCTGTGACATGCTGTTGGTGACACTATGCACATTTTGATTGGTGACCTTTGGTCTGGGCTGCATTACATTTGTTCCGTCCGGCATTACAGTAAATATTTCCTAAAAGTTGTTTACATTCCTCGTCACTAATTGCCAGGCTGCTGACAGGTTCTCTGTCAACCCCGACATCTTGATCCTTTCCCTTGGAAGGAGGGGTTAACTGCACTGGACTCTTCTGGTTTGCCTTGTGAGACAAACTGCATGAAACATTCCAGCTGAAATATTCCAGCTGACAGCTGAAATGCTGCATCTGAATTACGTGCAAGGCAAGGTGTTTAGTGCAGCCTGCAATGAACCCAGCCAGGCAGTGGAGCAGGGAAAGGGGGGCTTCTGGAAACTGAGAGGAGAGGCCATGGATGTCTGAGGGGTCTTCGGTGTAATTCAGCATTGCTTCAAGGCTGGGACTTCTGTGGAGTCTCCCAGGATGGCCTGACTTCTGGGATCCTGGGAAGGAGAGGAGGGAAGCTGTCTTGGTCCCTTCTTGCTAAAGCCCTTTCAGATCTCATCAAACCACTGAGAGACTGTGATTACACAAGTGACTCCAGCCCACATCATTAAGCTGGGGGACTTGGATTTCAAGTGCCATTTCATGGTGAATTTGGAGGTATCAGTGATATCTTCAGGCTTAGGTGGCAGCTTTGTGGACCTGTATCTTGGAGCTTGGATGTTTTAAATGGAAGTAAGGTGGAACACAGACATGCAGTGTGATTTTTGACTGCCTTTGGCACAGCCACTGCAATGCCAGGGGGGTACCTGTGTGCCTCAGGTACTGGTAAAATAGGGATAATGGTGAGAGGGAAGTAATTAAAGCTGCAACCAGGAGATGAGTTCCTCTGTGAAGATGTTGGCCTGGGTACCTATGAGATTTAGGAGCCCTAACATTTCTACCTGTAGTCTCTACTCTGGCAGTTTCCCATTGTCTCCCCATGTATGGACACCTTTACCTGGGTCAGGTGTTTGTCCCTGTCCTGTGTGTCCCTTGAATCATGGGACTGACTGGCTCTGTTCAAATTGTTTTGTGGGATTTTTGTGTTCACTGCCTCAGTCTGGCTCACAAGTGCTTGGCAGGAATATCAATGCGTTTCCTGGGACTCTTGGTCAAACTGTGAGCTCTGAAAGTCAGGCTGCTCTGCAGAAGGGCACATGATTGGATCAAGATGCCTTTAAAGTCTGTGGGCTGAAGCATGTGAAGCTTAGGTTTGTCTAGTACCAAATATTTCTTAATTGGAGTTCAGTGATGTTTTCCAAGAAGCAAGTGCCCATCTCCCTTTGGTGTTGCCTCAGGAATTGTACACTGACTCAGGAAACACCTTTTCCTCTGCACTCAGTGGAAGTTGGGTCTTCATTGTGTTTGAAATTCCCACTCCTTATTTACATGCTGAGGGCAATTAGGTGGAGAGGGGGAGTTTTCCAAAGAATAAAACATGTTGGGCTCGCTATCACTTTCTTAAGGTCCTTGGAGTCAGGACCCAGGGTTTCAGATATGGTGTAGTTAATTATTCCTGTTCTTTTTCTCTGAAGCTTCTTAGATGCCCTGTCTGACATTTCCAAATGAGGTCAGAAACCTAAGCACAAAGGTAAAGGCTTCATGGAGAAACTAGGTCGTGTCTGTCCAAGAAAGCTGGCCAGAACAGCCTGGAAAAGCTCCCAGTGGTACTCTGGCATTCCACAAGACAGGAGTCATTCCCCTGGACTAATGTCCAGAACGTTTGGCCATCTAATGTTTGTATTTCGGGTCAAATTTGGGGTGTTGCTAAATACTTCCCTTGTTGCATAATGTAACACAATGTCTTAGAATTTCTTGATCTTGGAGCAATCTTTCCAAAGGGAATGTTTAACTGATAAAACAGGTAATGGTGCAGGTCCTGTCAGTAGGTCCCAGCAGAATTTGCAATGCTATAGATCCATACCACTACCAGTGCACACACTTTCATTATGCTTTACATTTCTCCCATATTTTTTCCCATTTAAGGGAAAACAAGAATGCTCCAAGTCAGAGAAAGTAGCCAGTGACACATGAGAACCCCACACAGTGAGGATCTCTTCCCACGGGCTGAAGTAGCTCTGAGCTTTACACTGCTTTGCTTTGTCTGTGCAGATAGTTGCAGCAATCATGGCAATCACAGGAATTGTGATGATGGCATATGCAGATGGTTTCCAGGGAGAGTCAATCATTGGGGTGGCATATGCTGTGGGATCAGCCTCCACATCTGCCTTGTATAAGGTAGGTCACGACTGTTCGTTTGGGTTCTTATATTCACCATTATCAGCTGTTAAAAATGCACAAGTACAGAGAGAGTGGCTGTAAAATAAATGTTTTATTTCCTGCATCATTCATGTTGTGACCAGGTGATGTCACCACATCAGGAAATCCACGATGAGGGTAATTAGTTGTCACCTGCCAAATATTCAGGGTCTTTATGAGTCTTTAATGAAATCTTCATTGCTATGCTATAAGGAGTTTAAGATAATTTTTTAATCATGCCAACGCTGTTTAAAAACACTGTTTCAAAGGGACTTTCCACGTGCAGAATGGAGAGCCTGGGTGTGGGATGTGCTGTTCTCCCCGAGTGGGAATGCAGGGCTCACCCCAGGCCTGCACTGCACACGCTGGGCTCCTGCTGGGCTTGGAGCCCTGGTGTGAGCTCAGCACACCTGAGAATGCTTGGAAGCAGTGGCTGCTCTGGAAGGTGAGGGATGGAAAAGGCAGAGTCATGTCTCAGAAACAGGTTGGGCTGAGCGTGGCTGTGTTTATCTTTGGCTTGAGGAGGGTGAAGTACGTGTAAATTTTGGAGTTTGTTGTAGTGGGATCAGAATTTGCCTCCCAGTTTCAGAGTTTGCTCACGTCGGTAATGAATTTGTGCAGGAGAACTTTGCTCCCGTGACTGTCATGACTTCTAAACCCCTCCTCTCTCCTCTCCTTTGCAGGTTTTGTTCAAAATGTTCCTTGGAAGTGCAAACTTGGGGGAAGCAGCTCATTTTGTGTCTACCCTGGGCTTCTTCAATTTCATCTTCATCTCTGTCACCCCAATCATACTGTATTTTACAAAAGTGGAGTACTGGTACCCTTTCTCTGCTGTGCCCTGGGGTTACCTGTGTGGAGTAGCTGGCCTCTGGTTAGGTATGTGATAAAAAAGAAATACTCATTTTTCCAGCTCTTTTCTCCCCACCAATACAAAATTAGCCTCTGGCACAAACAATTCCCCCCTGTCCTCCTAAACATCAGAGCTCTCTCACAGATTAAGTCTGGTCCCAGTGCAAATTGGTACTCCTTGGAAATGATTTATATTTTTCATTATTCTTAATGAAATAATACTAACTATTAATATATAATTAATAATTAAGATATAAGTGATAATTATAATTAATAATTAATAGTGATAATAATAGCAGGGAGTAAACATGAAGCAACCATACTAATGATTCACTTTTCATCCCTACTCTAGTTCCACACCAATTCCCCTGTCTCTGGAATAGCTTGGCTGCTCTAAATCCCATTTCAAAGGGCTGTGTGTTCTCAGTGTCTTCCTGGCACGCTCTGTGGGGTGTTTGTGCACTGACACATGGATGCCCAGTGCTGGGGCACCTTTCTGTGGGTGCTGCAGGTGCTGGGCAAGGCTCACACAGCCCTTCAATAAAGCTCCCTCTTCCTGAGCCAGAATTGCCATTCTCCAGCCAGGCACAGTATCTGTTGGATTCAGCCCGGGGGCGTTTTAATTTCCAGATATAACAACATCCTTTCCTTTAGTAAAGTCTCTGTTATTTCATAATTGAAGAGGTTTCTGTCTCCACTACACGTTTATCAAATGGAAGCAAAGAGAATGCCTGGTACACAGCCCGTCCTGAGACGTGGTTGGGCTGACAGCTGAGCTCTGTGAGCGCCTTGAACCAGAATTTCAACTCCTCTGTGAGCTCCTGAGGGACAAAAAGCAGGGCTAATTTATCACCCATCAATCTACCAAAGTGTATAACCCCAGCCATGAGGGAACAACCTGATGGAGCAGACAAGGAGGAGCAACCCTTTGCTCCTTTTATGTAGGGGACTCAGCAGCAGGACTGAGTGACCAGAAGAAAATTTTTGGAAGTTTCTGCAGCTTGCTTTTGATCTCCCAAGGAAATTGTAGCTGGCTGGTAACGCTGTCATGTAAAAAAAAAACAAAAAACTAATGCCTAAATTTAAGGTGTTGAATATTTGTATATCTGTCAGATTTCATTTTGCCTTCAGCATGGCACCAAGGCTGTGGTCTTGCCCCAGTCTGCTTAGTTTGCAGTTAAATTCGTTAGCTAATTGTGTTTAGTGTCCTTTAGAGTATGAGTTCCTGCTGCTGTCACCTTTGGGGTGTGGTCCAGGTGGAGGGTTTGCAGCCTTTTGTCAGGGAAATGTCCCACTGAGACAAGGACAACACAGCCTCAGCCAAGAGGGCAAGCTGGGGTCACCACCCTTCTGGTAGGGGAACAAATGAAGGTTTCTGGCAGCAAAAACAGGTTGTTTGTATCTGATTAAAGCTTGGGAAAAGCCATGAAATATGAGTGTGATAACCTTGGTATTACAGTTTGTGAAAGGCCATCCAGCCCTTCCCATTACACCAGTCAGAACTTCCCCTCATTTCACACTCCTAAATAAAAAAACCAAAATCACTCACTTTGTGACAACTACATAATTGTGGTGTGGATACTGATATCACACTTGTAGGGTGAAGTGGAAGAGAAATATCTCACTCTAGTGTTTTTCCCTGTAATCATGTATGATTTGCTCTGGTTTTCCCTAGCTTTCAATATCCTGGTTAACGTTGGTGTCGTGCTCACATACCCCATCCTGATCTCCATCGGCACAGTGCTCAGCGTCCCTGGAAATGCAGGTACCACGGCTGGTGGTGGAAAAATAACCCCACGGGCACACAGACAGCACAAGCAGTTTATTGTCCAAATACTCAAAATCTGTTGTCACCAGGGCAGGGGGTATACGTGGAAATTTATTCCAGAGTCCTGTCTTGTTGAACAGCCTCTGCCTCTGCTCTTCCACCCTCTCAGTCTCGCCGCTCCTGGGATTTGAGCATGTTTTCAAAGAAACATCTATTTTTAGGGGGATGCAGGTCAGAGCTGCAGAACAATCAGTACTGAAGGAGGCTGCCCAAGGGCTCAGGTGCCCTCTTGGTGCTGGTTGTGGGTCTGGGAGGCACCGACTCCAGCTCTCTGACCCACGTGCTGCTCTCTCCCAGTCCCTGGTCTGTGCAGCCCAAGGAAACATTCTGCTGGTGCAAACTGTTGAAGATGAAGAGTTACCATAAAGTACCTTCCCTCTCAGAGAAGAAATCATGGAATCATAGATTCATTAAGGTTGGAAAAGACCTTCAAAATCTCCAAGGAGATTGGAGGTCGGACCTCCAAGTCAAACCCTCAACAAAATATGCCCATGGCCAGTTAACCATACAGTGAAGTGCCACGTCTACTCGCTTCTTGAACACTTTCAGGGATGGTGACTCCACCACTTCCCTGAGGAGCCTGGTCCAGTCCTTAACCATTCTTTCAATTAATAAATATTTCCTAATATCCAACCTGAGGCCATTTCCACTTGCTCTATCACTTGTTACCTGAGAGGCAAACACCCACCTGTCTACAACCTCCTCTCAGGGAGTTGTAGAGAGTGAGAAGGTCACCCTGAGCCTCCTTTTCTCCAGGCTGAGCCCCCCCAGCTCCCTCAGCTGCTCCTCATAGACCCTTTCACATGGAAACCTTGAGGCTTGGATCCCACAAGGCTTCCTCAGAGCCTGCTGAGGTGGTGAGGGATGGAAGAGATATGGCACTTCCAGTACTGTGCTATCAGGTCAAAGCTGTTCTCTGAACTAAGGGTGCTGCTCGCTCTGAAGATCTGAGAGCTACATGGCCACTGTCACAGCCAGAGTGCAGCACACGGGTCACAGAGCCGTGCCAGGCTGCTCTGATGCCATCATCCATATGTTGGAAAACAGAGACAAGGAAAAAACTAACAAAGACAATTCAGCAATTGTGCTGAAACTCTCTCTGTCTGGGAAAAAGATAACAAAAAGACTGAAAATGCGGATTAATTAGCATGTGAAGTGAGCAATCAATAACCAATAGAAGATAGAATACTAATTAATGAAGAGGATTATGAAATTTATAGCCAATGAGCATTAATTCCTTTGTTTGCTAAAAATGCATAAAATAGTGAAAAGTATTGAAAGTGGGTGTGTGTGTCTGGTGGAGTGACCCCACAAGCACCCTGATAATAATGGTAATAGATTATTATTAAAGTATATAAATGCATAGAAATAACAAGGTAATAAAGTAATGCCTGCTTTCCAATACTAAAAAAATAGCTACAGAGTTTGATTTGTCCTGGTTTTGGTGACACATCCCACTGCTGGTTTGATGTTGTTGTTGTTTCCTTCCCTGCAGCCATGGATCTGGTGAAGCACAAAATGATCTTCAGCGTGGTGAGGTTGGGAGCCACCATCATCATCTGCATCGGGTTCCTGCTCATGCTGCTCCCCGAGGAATGGGATGAGATAACCCTGAGGTTCATCAACAGCCTGAAGGAGAAGAAGAGTGAGGATCACGCCGACGAGATCCCAGAGTCCAGCGTACACACGAGGAGCAGGAGCAGAGCTAACGGGACAGTGTCTGTGCCACTGGCTTAGGGCTGGTGGACCTCCCCTGCACGCAGATGTATATTCTGTGAATATAGCTGAAATCCCCTCACCACCTGTATGCTTAAAAAAAAATGACATTTAACCTGAACAAGGGATGGACTGTAAGATAAGAGAAATACATCTATAATAAATGTTTACATTTATACACTTATCGAGGAACAGGTGTAAATAACTACAATAAAATGTTTTGTAATAAAAAAGACATTTCTGCTGGCGTCTCAGTGAAGTGGTGGGTTTAAAATGTGGATCAAGTTTACATCATTTATCTCCTTCTGCTTTTGCCTTGAGAGGCATTCTCAAGGATACAAATCTTGGATATTTCCAGCCAAATCTCAGAATTGAACATCTCGACTTGCCTTCAATAAGGTGACCTTTCAGCAAGGTACTAGGTTTGGAAAACCATTTCAAACCTCTCCTGGCATTTTTGAGAATTCATTTGTGAAAGACCCTGATGTTCTCATTTACATTTGGAATTATTATCAGAAAATATCAGCAAAACATGAAGCCTCCATCCCAAACCACGCTGAGCTGTGCCTCTTTCTAACACCACCTTTCTAGAATTGGTGCTGGGATTTGGATGCCTTTGGTAAAGCCAAAAATTATTTTATTCATCTCTTTTTCCCCCAGAAAAGCTGCACTCCCAGCTGCACAACAAGCTTCTCAGGAGACATGGAACACCCCAGATTGCCAGCGTCCCTGGGAAATTCCTATTTTCAGTTCCTATTTTCTAGGGTTTTGGGACAAAACAATATTTTCCTTAACCTCCACTGTGGAAAAGTCTTTCAAAAGCCAAAACAAATCAAACAACCTTCCAGTCCCTTCCTTAAGCCTATTGCTGTGTAGTTTAGGCTGGCTTACAGCATTCCTAGAACTGACCATGCAAGACTGTCTTTATTTGAGAGCACTTGATATGCAGACAAGCATTTTTTTCCCTTTTCTTTTTTATTTTTAAAGGGAGAATAGAAACACCTGGAAAGTATCACAGGTTGCTGAGCTCTGCTGGCTCTACTGCCCACAGTTTGTAAGTTTGCTCAGCAGCTAGAAGGAGTTTTTTTGCTTGTGGGTATTTTTTTTTTATATAGATGTTTTTGACAGGAAAAAATAGTCATGTAAATAATAACAAAGGCACTTTTAGATTTTATTCTTCCCTTTGAGGTTTTTATTTGATCCTTTAACGTCCATGTCCAAACTGTTCCTTGCAACGAGCAGAGCTGATAAAATACTTGCGTATATTTAAAAAACCCACAGCTGGGCTCCTTTATCACATGGCTGAAGCATTAGGGCTGTAGAAACCAACCCAAACCAACTGCTACCTGTGCATTAAACCCAGAAGTGTAAGGTTTGGGTACACTTTTACAGCTCCTTGTCTGCTGCTTTTGAAAGGAGCTAGACATAGAAAAATATCCTAAAAAAGTGAAGTCTGTGGAACAGGAGATACTGATGGTAAAACACCGATGGCAGCTTGGACACCACCTCAAGTTGGTTTTGGAGTTGATATATTCATTTACATTACTAGATTAGGGGATGTGTTTTACTGAAATTTTAGCTCCTGCCAAACTGAACACACGGGAAAAACAAAACTTTCAATCAGTATACATTGATGAGGACTTTTGGCAAGCAGACTCATAGAAGCATCTTCAGGCACAGGACTGGATCCTTCAAGGAACGTCACTGAACTTGAAAGCACCCACCTGAGTGTCCCTAGGATGAGTGGGAAGGCCTTAGAAAGGCTGGAGCACTCACTCTCTCAACTCCAAATCATCCAATACAGATTTGGCTTTGTATTTTCAAGCCCTTCAGAGCTTTCCTGGCCAGTTAGCTCTCTGCAGCAGAGGAAGGATTAGTGTTTTTGCAATATCCTCCCTTGTTTGGGGTGCTTTTGGAAGACTGAGGGAACTTTTGTTCCTTGAGGGCTTTTATCCCTTACCGGAATTATTCTATTCTTATCCCTTAATAAAAAACCCTTTGCAAACCAAACAATGCCAGGGTTTTTTGCTTCTGTTTAGTTTTTGAAATTGACTCTCAATGGACCATTTGAAGGCAAATGAGTTGCTGCTGATTTCAGTGCAGCTGCGACTAAAGGGGTCAGAGCAGCGTTCGTGCCCTTGCCCACACATTGTGTCACAGCCCCCGTGTTTAGATGGCCACCAGCCAAGACTTCTCCCAAGGAGGCCATGCCAGCTTCTGTGGAGGCCCCGTGCCCTTCCCACTGCTGCTGTGTTGGCAGCCAAGAGGGCTCTTTCTGCTGCCATGAGCAGACACAGGAGGGGATTGTTTGCTCCTTTTTGGAGCCATTCCTAAAGTTCACGTCCAGCTGTCTCAGATGCTTTAGGGAATGGATTCCTTCCAACCTGGGGCAGGTTGGCCAGGTTGGGGAAGGCCCCAGGGCCCGTGTCCATGTGTCACAGGGCCCTTTGTGACATGGTGGCCGTCGCCAATGGGGTGGGACAGGGCAGGGTGTCCAAGGGCCCTTTGTGACACGTCCTGATATAGGTGTTGGGCGGCAACGCGGCCGCGCCACAGTGCTCGGAGCACGCGTCTGGTCAGGACGGGACTGAGCGGTGCTGTGAGGAGTCTCCTCGCAGCCAACTCATTCGTTGCTGACCCGAAGCGATTCTGAGAGTTCTTTTTCTTGCAAGTTCCCTCGAGGCCACACCACAGGAGTTGGTGACCCGGAGGTTTTTCCGAGGCATCCCCACTCCCTGTGGGAGTGGCCCTCGAGGCCAGGCCACAGGCCTTGGTGACCCGGAGCTTTTCTGGGCATCACCAGTGCCTGTGGAAGGTGCCTGTGGAAGGTGCCTACGAGGCCAGACCACGGGACTTGGTCATCTGCAGTCCCTGTGGAAGGTGCCTACGAGGCCAGACCACGGGACTTGGTCACCTGCAGTCCCTGTGGAAGGTGCCCTCGAGGCCATTTTGTGAGATTTGCCCACCAGGTTTTTTTCTGAAGCGTCTCTTGTGCAAGTTCCCTTGAGACCACACTGTGGGATGGCAGGGAGACGCTTCAGCCTGTTCAGGCTGCTGAGGAGGAAGAACAGGAGAGGTCCTGGGGTGGCCCCAGCACAGCAAGCTGAGGAGCCCCTGCAGCAGGGTGAGTGCTGGAGCTGGGCCACAGGGCTGGTGGCTGCAGCCAGCTTGGCCCCCTCCTGTCCCCTCTGGACACGTCCAGGGAAAAAGGAGGGGGGAAGAGGGGCCCAGGCTGACCCCCCAGCATCCCTGCTCCATCCACTGGGCACCCCAGGGCCGGCCCTGCCTGTGGAGTGCAGGGCTGGGCTGTGTTCCCTGGCCTCTCCTGCAGCCCCTCAGCTCCACCTGCGCTCGCTCTTTGACAGATCCAGGCCAGGACCGGACAGAGGAGCAGGACCGCCCCCGGGGCCGCTTCCACAGAGCAGTTCAGGTACCTGCAGCCATCCCCCCCTGGGCTGGGCCTGCTGTCCCTGCTCCGCCTGGCACTGCTGGTGGAGCGCTCCTACGGACTTCCCTCTCTTCCCTGCCCTTTCTTCTCCTGCAGAGGTTGCTGAAAATCATGCGCATTCGGCGTAGAACACCCAGAACCACACCACCTGAGCTCGTGTCAGAGCCTGACACCAGGCCAGCTGAGCTCAAAGAAAAGCCTGATGGCAGCACCGCGCCGATTGATTGCACGGCAACCTCTGACACCGCTGTGAGTGAGGACACGGCCAACCCTGACACCGCACTGGCCAACCTCATTGCAAAGGATGACACAGAACCCAGTCATTGCACAGCAAAGCCCGACACCGCTTTGGCTGAAGACACAACCAGCTCTGACACCACAGCGACTGATGTCATGGCCAAGGCTGACATGGCGCCGATGGCCATTGATGGCACATCACCCTCTGATGCGGCACCGATGGACGGCACAGCAAAGCCTGACACCGCTTTGCCTGGTGACACAACCGGCTCTGACACTGATCTCGTGGCACAGGCTGACATCACACCGATGCCGACTGAGGGCAGAGCAAGCTCTGATGAGGCACCCATGGATGACGCAGCAAACCCTGAGACTGCCGTGACCGATGACACAACCAACACCGAAACCACAACAAGTGACCTCATGGCAGAGGGTGATGCAGCGAGTGAGGGCATCGGAAACGCTGCCACCACACCAGCTGAGAGTGTGACTGATGCTCCCAGTGTGCACTTTTTGGAGGGGAAAGGTGTCTCCAGTTGGAAGCCAGTAAGCAGCCTGTGGCCAGGGTTTAAGTCCCCCAGGGGTCTCGTGGCCTCTCAAGTTGGGTCTGCTGGCCCCCTAAGCCTTTGAGGCCACACTGTGTGGTGGGAAGGGAAGCACCTGCTCCCTCTGGCAGCTCCTCAACTGTCCCCCACTGTCTCTCCAGGTGCCGACCATCGTTTGGTACATCCACCATGACCTCACCTCCCACGTGTCTCCACACACTGACATCTGCAGGCTCGCTGAGGCACACCCACGGGATGTGGTGATGACTCTCCTGAGCTGTGCCCCAGAGTGTGACAGGTACAGGGCCCAGTTGCCTTGTTGGCTCAGGGATCACCAACCCTTACAAACCCTCACCCTGCAGAGCTTGTCCCATGTGGTCTGCCAGACAGATGCAGACTTCCAGGACCCTTGGGCCACTCCATTTCCCAGCCCTGGCCTGTCAGCCCCCGATCCTGCTGCCATGTGGCCTCCCTGCCCCTCAAGGCACCGTGGCTCTGTCACCTGGGCCCCCACAGCTGCCCAGGCCACAGTGCTGGGGCTGAGACCCCCTGACGCAGAGTTCTGGCTCCACAGAGCTGCTGCAATGATGTGGAGAAGCATCGGCTCCTCAGGAACAGCAGTGGAGAAGGTGCTGCCAGTACTGCTCCGAGTGATGGAGGACTGGCCAGTGCACGGAATGTCCACCTCCGATGGCGACAACAGAGACGTGTTTGCCCTGGCTGTGAGTTTCTAGAAGTGGCCTCTGCTCCTTCCCACGTCGCCTCTCCAGTGGCTCTCCATCCTCCCCCACCCCTGCATCTCCGTGCCTCAGGCCTTGGGCTGCAAATGTGGCTGAGGGGCAGGTTCAGGGGCACCAGGCCAGCTGCTCCTCCTGCCTCTCCCCTGGCCTCTCCCTCCCACACTCGGGCCCTGCCACGTGGACCTCTCGCACTGAGCGCTGTCTCTGTGTGCTTTGATTGCAGGCAACCCTGGCACTGTGGCTGATCATCCAG